TATAACTTTTATAATGTTATGATGATAAACATGGCCATATAGATGGTGAGAGTTTGCTAAATTATGGCCAAAAAAATAGGATATAGGTTTAAAAAGTTGGTATGAAAAAATGTTGAAAATGAATATTTATCCAATAATGAGTATATTCCCTAAACTTAATTAATCATGGATAAAAATCTATATAAAATTTTGTCCTATATTTACTTATGCTTTCACTAATTAGTCAATTAAAAATTATATTTATTTTCTTTGAAACAAATATTATCATATCAATTAATTAAATAAAAAGTCAATTCTTACATTAAAACTTAGAAATATGATCATTATCATATCAAGTAATTAAATAAAAAGTCAATTCTTACATTAAAACTTAGAAATATTATCATAGTTAAGTAACTAATGATATAACAATTTATAAATTTTTTTTGTCACTCAACTGTTAGTCTCTAACAATATACTACACATGATAATGTCATGTCAACTATCAAGTGCCATATGACATTGCGAATCATTTCTATATGTCATATGACATTATCGATATGACATTATGAATTTTAGAAATTATTGACATGACAATGCCACTTGGCATTTGACCATTGATGTTTCATTATCATATTGACATGCCAGGATAGCATTAAATTAATTTTCCTATTATCTTTTCCAACGTCCATCAAAACTTACTAATTTATTTTTTTAAAATTTCAAATTAAAGAAACTTTTCAAATTGGCTATATCTGTTGCCATGCTCTATGCTATGGGAATTGAAAACGTTTTATACTTTTCATATTTTTAACTTTATATAGGTGTAAATAACATGTTAAGTATATATATCACATTAGTATTTTCACATGAGATATGAGTTAACATGATAATCGTTAATGGTATTTTATAATTATAAAGGTATTATGATTTTTTTTCTTAAAGCCTAAATCAACAACAAAGTAAAGGTAATTTAGTCATTTTGAGCTAAGTTGATATGGTAATCTGACTTAAAATCTAAAAGTCTACATCAGTTCAACCAACTCAACTTTATACTTAAAGGCATATAAGAATGTTGATTTGTCATCCTCAATTGAACCTTCACCTACTAAGTCATGTCAGATCAACATTGTCAGTCATAAGCTTGATTTTCAAAGCTCAAACTATCCAAACCCAACATTTTCACCCTACAAGTAGAAATAGCCTTTCTTACACTAGGTATGGGCATTCAATTTCCTTCTCTTTTAAGATTTCTATATTTCTCTCTCTTCCTAAGTATTAACTTAAGCGTCAAAATAGAAACACTAGAGAAATTTTTTATCTTTCTTTTTAATTAACCCCTAACCTTGTGGTTTTAGGTTTTTAGCCTCGTCGACAACTCGACACAAACAATAATGTCATACGACAACATCTATTAATGTAGGCAATCACATTAGTAAGTTGTTTACTTTATTATGGTTGAATGATTAATAATTTTTTTTGACATAAATGATTAATCGTTATTTTATAATTGAATTATCAAAACAAAAAATATCAAATAATTAAGTGATTAATCATGTAGTTTATCTAAGAATTATAATCTAATAAACATTACTGAGCATATCACATTGGAAAAACAAATTTTGATTCATACAACAGGCTTACACGCATCACTCTTCAATCTAATAGTAGTCAACACACTTATATTAACAACGATAGTTAAAGACTAAAGTTCAAACTTCAATCTAAAATCTATTTGAGGTTGAAAGTCAAGAGATATGAGAAAACGAGAGAGAGAGTCACAAAAGTGGGAGTGAAAGACAACAAATGTAAGTTTGGAATTTGGAATTTGAAAGTGGAATTTGGAGAATATGAATTTTGAGGCAACGAATGCTATTTGAGGTTTGACGGTGATAAGAAGTTAGAACCCTAATCCTAATTCTTAAAGAACAATACCATTTTACTTGTTTTTGACTTATATAATTTTTGGTTTTATGTTTAGTCAAATTTAATTTTTGTTATTAGGGAGTATAAAGATAATAAAAAGAAAAACATGTAAAGCCCAAGTTTACAATTTTCAGTTTACACATTCGAGTTATCAATTTATAAATGTTAATATTATAACAGAAATATTTTGTAAAGGCTATTAATTATATTTTAAAACTTATATATATTTATAATATATATTAAATATCTTAATATATAACTGCTTGAGCATGATTTTAAATGTTAGAGCCAAGAGTAGACTTAATTATTAAATGAGCTTTATTATTATTATTATTATTATTATTATTGTAGAGATCTATCTAACAAACTTAATATATTTTTATACTAATCTTTTCAAATTTTGTGAGCTTTCAAGTCTGAACGAATAATTTGATTCTTGGACAAGTCTATCAATGCAAAATATTGTAGCTATTAACTCAATTTCTAATTAAAAATCAATTTGAATTTGGATAAAATTCTATTGATTAGAGATTTACTTGATGTTTAAGTTTATTTAAGGAGAAATGTACTTAATAAATAAAAGTTCTTATTAAATAGGAATTTTTTATGATCAAATAGTACAGCTTTATAATATTGATGCCATTTGTTTCATAAATCATAAGCAAGTAAACAAGTGAGGGAGAATGGGATGGAGAAAGAAGGAACAAAAAACATTTTTCTTGTAATCTCTTGGATTTTTCTTTCATGGGTTTATATTGGGTAAACACATGGGCAAATATATGGATTCCCTAATGAGTGATAACTTTACATGATTATAACAATTTTTCATATAGTGAATTTTGTCTTTGGTGGCTCATGATTTTTCTTCGATTTTGGAGTTTTCATGTAAATTTCTTGTAATGTGCTATTTTTCAAGTTCTTTGTTACTATTTTGATATTTTCTATTAAACTATATTTGGGTAATGAGGAATTCAACACTATTAAGGTATGTGATACTATTCATGTCTACGAAAATTATGAAAGTTTCACATGCAAATTCTTCGTCAACAAAATGATAAATTAAGCATTGTTGTTGTCAAATTTTCAACAAATATAATTTTTAATTTCTTGAATAATTATAAAAAATATAGTATCTTTCATTTTTAAATATTAACAATCTTAACCTTTCCCAAAAGCATATACATATATATATATATGAGAAGGAATCTACTTATAATAGTGTAATTTTTGTTTTTTTTTTTAATTTTTGAATCAAAATTATTAAATCTAAAAGTATTATTTTGGTTCAAATGAGTAATGAATTTAACTTTTTTTAAAAAATGAAAATATTATAAATCTCTCATATATATATATTTATTTATTTCTCGATCTCATCTCAAAAATAGACATGTAGGTGTTAAATGGGACTTATTGGACTAACACAACCCATTTATTTATATTAGTTCATGTGTTATTGAATCATGCTGGTTTAGTACTATTTTTTAATGTGCCGTGCTAACATAGTTCATAAAGGCTAAAGATAAGGCCTAATACAGCACATGACTTATAACCTTCATGGGTTATACCGTGTCAAGCATAGCATTGTTTTTTGTGTCGAAATAGGCCAAGCACAACCCATTTATAGTTTTTCAATTTTTTAATTATTTTTTACAAAAATTCATCTATTATTAAAAATAACATGTGGAGATAAATAAAAATAAAATCAAATAAAATTGACATATAATTTATGTGATTGGACAAAATACCTACATCTACGAAAAGAGTAATAGAATCCATTAAATAAAAATATTAAAATTATAATCCTAGTATTTAAAAAAAACACACTCATACATATAAAAGATATTATAAGATACGAAATTATTATTCTATTTTTTATTCTCATCATCTAATAATTCACTTATATAATGGGTTGTCTTGTGTATTTATTTTATACCTTTCATTCTATAATAATTTACTTTATTAATTGAATTTGTACTTAACTATAAGTCTTAATTTATTTTTATCATTTTATTTTTGCTAATTATTAGTTAAAAATAATTTATCTATCAATAATATAAATATTTAATAAGTAATTTTAATATAATTTTATTTTATACATTACCAATAAATATCAAAAATAAATATAATTTCATTGTAATGTAAAAAATAATATAAATACACTCAAAAGCTAAGAGCCCACTTATAAAAATTATAAGCCAACATAACAAGACTAAACTAAAACTGTAACTCATATCGTGTTAACCCATGTGTCACTTATTGACATGACTTTTATTTTTAAAGGATTGTGCTACACATATATATATATATATATATTTGACTCATTCTGATTACTTAACTGCAAATTATGTCAAACAGATATATATCATGTAGAATTATATTATGTCATGGACCGTCAACCCATTCGACACCCCTAACCAGACAAAAAGATATAAACTGGAGCGGGTACTGGGCCAGTTTCGAACGCAAGCAGCCCGTTTAAGTTGCGCGGTAACCCGAAACTCAAGCCGGATTGATCTCAAAAAAAGAAGAGCGCGTGTTGGGACCAACGGAAACCATAGCGCCTAAAACTATTAGATATACAAAATTTTCCTTAAAAAAGTAAAGCAGAGAATTCCTTATGGTTGATGTTCCATGGATTCTCTCTTTCATTTTCTCTTTTGAACCTTTGAATATCTTTGTTTTCAGGAGTTTTGCCACCATTTTTTTCTCATTTTGATGTGATTTTTTTTCTTTTTGGTTTTCTTTCGGGCGTTCAAAAAAGGGTTTCAATTGATTATACTTGCAGATTGTGTATTAAAATGGTTCATGTTATCAGGCAATGCCAAGTAGTTTGATGAAAGGGAAAGGGATTGAGAGGGATTTGGAAGGATATAGAAAACAAAAACATAAGTTTTTGACATTAGGCCAACATTTTAACATAGGACAGGATTTTAGTGTTTTGAATATTTAGCTCTGTCATTTTAATCATTTGAACATAGAAGAAAGATAGTTTTTCATTTACTGTAGGAACATTGTAGAATTCTAATCGAGATTCAAATAGGAAAAGAAACAGAGCAGGATTCAACATATATAAGTTTGACCATAGAGGAAGGAGGATGTCGGACTCGGAGGAGCAGCCACTTGATACTTCTTCCGAAAGTGAAGAGGATTCATCCGGCTCTTCTCCTACTCCAGACGACTCAAGCTCTGATGATGACTATGGCAGTCCTCTTTCAGGGAGTTTACAGCAATCAGGAGATGATAATTCAACACCAGCACCCTCTCCAAGTTCAGATTCATCAGACTCTTCCCCTCCTGATGATTCTTCAGATGAGGAATCATCTTCAATTCCTTCAGACTCAGAGCCACCTGAAACCTCACCACCCCCACCACCACCACAACAAAAAATGTCACCCCCTCTTAAGGTACCGTCGCCACCATCAGCGGAAAGTTCTCCACAATTATTACCACCATCATCATCCGGGTCACCTCCTAGCCCTCCTAAGCAGCAATCACCACCAACTTCAAGCAGCCCTTCTCGGGAATCATCAAAATCTTCACCAGAAAAATCTGCTCCTCCTTCTCCTTCTGATCCTCCCGACTCATCAGAAAGTAGTACTTCACCACCCCCACCTTCTACTAAAACCTCAAAATCACCACCTTCAGCAAACTCCCAGTCAACACCTTCACCTCCATCAATAAATGGATCTATTACATCATCACCTGGTTTTTCTCCTCAAGCACTAGCTCCTCCTGCACCAAGCCCACCCAAGAGTCCCTCTAACTCAAGTGATGGATCTTCCCAATCAGGAAGCTCTAGTAATAACAGCCTAAACAGCCCTCGCTATAAAGTTGTGATTGGTTTGGCAGTGGCGGGTGTTTTTATCATTGCATTCGTTGCCTTGTTTTTCTTTACAAGGAGAAGGAAAAAGAGACAACCAAGTCCCTATGCTAATTACATGCCACCACCTGCCAACTTTGCAGTGAGTTCAGGTAAAAAGTTTGACTATCTTATTTTTTGTGGTTTTAGTTTAGTTCTTTCTGTTTAATTTAACATTTATCTTAGTTATGCAGATGCATATATGGGACATTCTGCCCAAAAAGATGCCGCCTATTATAATTCTAAACTTCATGGCCAACAATCAAATATGGTAAACAGTTTTGGGAGTCAAAGAGGACAGAACTACCATGGTCCTGACTCGGGTATTGTAGCTGGTTCTAAGACATTTTTCACCTATGAAGAGTTGATGGAAATGACCAATGGATTTGCTCGTCAGAACGTTATTGGTGAGGGTGGGTTTGGATGTGTTTATAAGGGATGGATGCCAGATGGGAGAATTGTGGCTGTTAAGCAGTTAAAAGCAGGTAGTGGACAAGGGGAGCGAGAATTCCGGGCTGAAGTTGAGATTATTAGCCGTGTTCATCATAAACATTTGGTCTCCTTGGTTGGATATTGTATTGCTGAAAATCAAAGATTACTAATCTATGAATTTGTTCCAAATAAAACCCTTGAACATCATTTGCAAGGTAAGATGGTTATTTCCCTGCACCCCCAGTCCTCCCCACCACCCTCCCCCCCAAAAAAAATTGTACTATGTTCTAATATTGTGAAATATTCATTGTGCATCAGCTAAAGAAATGCCAGTGCTAGAATGGGCCAAAAGAGTCAAAATTGCTGTAGGGGCTGCTAAGGGTTTGGCATATTTACATGAAGATTGTACGTATCTCTTCAAGCATTCTGACAAATTACCCTCTCCTTCTCTTCAATTCTCTCTCAATATACATTTCTGTTTGAGAGAAACGTATAGGCATTCACATGTCAGAATCACTATCTTGTTTCCCTTTTCAATTCTTAAACTTTATGCAACTCCTATGTGATCTTAGCTGTAGCCTTTAATTTTCCATTTTTAATTTGGATGTCCTAGTTTGAATTCAAGTTCCTACTTTGCCATTCTGAGTCCTTTTGACCCCTGTATGTCGTTGATGACTTGTGTGATTGAAATTATAAGGCCATCCTTTAAAAACTCAACTGGTACTAATATTTCTATTCATCTGATTAGTGTTTCTTACCTTCCTTACTATGTGATCTATTTATAGGTCATCCAAAAATTATCCACAGGGACATTAAGTCAGCAAACATTCTGCTGGAAGATGATTTTGTAGCCAAGGCAAGTGAATCTTATATCCTTTGTCAAGTTCACTCATGCAACTTGGGAAAAGTTTTTTTCTCGATCCTATTTTTGAAGGCTAACATTACAATACAGGTTGCAGACTTTGGACTTGCAAGACTTAACGACACTACTCAGACCCATGTTTCAACTCGAGTCATGGGGACATTCGGGTATGTCATGTTTTCATCAGTCGAGGCTCTTTTATGGGGTTGGAATTCATCTGTTTTTCTCCAACTTTCCTTTTGCCTCTCTATCTGCCGACTTTGTAAGCTCTTATCCTAATTATAGAGTAAAGATTATGCATGAATAATTAATCTTTTATTGGTGATTCATTTGCCTTTCAGGTACCTGGCACCAGAGTATGCATCAAGTGGGAAGCTGACGGATAGATCAGATGTTTACTCATTTGGAGTTGTGCTTCTAGAACTTATAACAGGGCGAAAACCCGTTGATTCAACTCAGCCTTTGGGGGATGAGAGTTTGGTCGAATGGGTAACTTTTCATAAAATCCTCAGTTAGATTAACTCTTGAAAGTGTTTCTACTTTAACATATTTGTGAAATTCAAACTGAAATACCAAAAAGAAAAAGAGAAATACTGTAATACTAAAATGATGTCTTTATGAGTCGCCCTAAGATTTTGTTTTTCTTTGCTTCCAATTGAGAAATATTATCATAATTTTGGCAGGCACGACCACTCCTCATTCAAGCACTTGAAACTGGCGATTTTGGTGAATTAATTGATCCACGGCTTAAAAAGCGTTACGTAGAGAGTGAGATGTATAGGATGATTGAGGCAGCTGCTGCATGTGTTAGGCATTCTGCTCCAAAGCGGCCTCGCATGACGCTTGTAATGTTAATAAACGTCATCCGTTTACCTGTCTCTGCTGCCGCTATTTGTTTTTGGTTTTTCACTTTTCATGCTTAGTGGAAAAAAGATATATTCAATACATTTTATATATCTTTGTGGTGTCATGCTATGTAGTATGAAGGGTCAAACATTGAATAGTTCTTCAACATCTTATAGGTGGTAAGAGCACTGGACTTCGAGGGAGGGTCTGATCTTTCTAATGGGGTGAAATTCGGTCAGAGCACTGCCTATGATTCTGGCCAGTACAGTGAAGAAATTACAATGTTCAGGAGGACGGCACTTGGCAGTGACAACAGCTCGGAATTTGACATGTAGTGGAGAATACAGTTCCAGGGAAGTATCACATGGACAGCCAATTTTTTGAAGTCCCGGTATAGTTCGTGTGAATTCACAAGTGGCGAGTCAGAAACTCAAACCTTTAAACTAAATAGTGGCGAGTACAGCGGTGCCCCAGAGAACTAAGGTGGTGATTGCTTCAAATGAGGGTCAATTCCCATCGAGACATTCGTTGAAATGAGTTATTGTGCATAGCAGTCGTATTTAAATGTATAGATTCTTTTCTTTAGTTCCCTTGAATCATAATTTGAGCATAGGGAAAGCTTGTAAAGGGAAATTCTTATTAGAGGTATTAACCGGAGATGGGTTCAGTTTTGAGTGAATAATCTCATGAAGCTTCTGATCCCACTGTAAAATCTAGATTCTATTAAACCAAAAAAAAAAGATATGGCAAATACTTGTGTCAGTATTTCTTTCCGTCTCCCCTGGGAAAAAAATACCTTGCTCATTAGATGAATGTCACAACCTTATGTCATGATTGAGGTTTAAAAAGAGTTTAGATGAATGTTACAACATTTCTTGTCACATTTTTATCAGGCTGTACGGATTATGTGTATGCGGTGATGGCGTGTACTTCCCTTATTTATCATTCGTGATTGAAATTTGTAGTTTTCTTCTTCTACAAAAAATTAAAATCAATCTTTTTTGTTTTTTTTTTTTTTAATTTAATGTTGCGGACTTGTATTGTAGAAATTGTTGATTAATATGGAATTTTGATTTGTTTTCCCTTAGATCTTTGCCATATGATAAGATCAATATAATATAAGCAAATACATACATGTGCAAGATCACAAAATAAGAAACTAGATGAGGCTAAAAATTTTGGAAAACAAAAGTAAAGAAGATAAATAAAGTGGCAACAACAACCGGCCAAGAACTTCTTCATTTTGTGCCATATCATGCACTGGCCTTTAACGCTTCATCATCAACAGGCTTAGTTTCACCTTTGATGTCCACATGCCCATGCATTCTGAATCCTGTGAGATCCCCAATTCCAGGCGTTATAAATCCTGTAGGATCCCCATGTTCAGGCATTGATCTGAACCCTCTGGGATCTCAATTTCCGGGCATTTTCAAACCTTTGCTGTGATCACCATGGCCAGCTGGTTTGGCGGTAGGAATCCTCCCATCAAACCCGAAGTCTATGTCCCTTTCTTTAGGAGGGTAATTATGGTTTTGGCTTTGCTTGGAGGGTTTTGTTTGGCTCATGTGCCGGTTACAGAGTCTTCCAAGAAAGCAAGCTATAGCTGATAAAACAATGATTACTGCCAGCACTATAAAAACTGTTCCAAAGGATCCATCCGAGTGAGAATGAGATGGGGATGCCTGCCCTGACACACTATTTGGGTAAACGACAACGGGTTGTTGTGTCTGAGGCTGCTGTGTTTGAGTCGACATTTTTTAGTCCTTTTTCTGGTGTAAGAGATGAGGAGATGGATGAACTTAAACTTAATGTAAGTTTTTGGCAGGGAATGAAAGGGTTACGATTTTGTATGAGTCTGCAGCTTCTTGTTCTTTGAGGGCAGACAAAGGGATGATATGGAGCAAACCCTTTAAACAAGCAAGAACATTTGCCCGTAACAAGAGGTTATGTATAAATGTGGATTGGTTTTCAAGACTTCAAGTACTTGGTTATTTCCAGTTCAAAAAAGCAGGAACTTTATTAAAGAGACAAGACAACTAAAGATGTTCCTGTTGTTGTTCTTTAATTTAATGCTGAAGACGGGACACTTGCATTTGCTTTGTACAGAGAGAAAGTAAGATTTTGGTTGAGCCTTAATTAGGACAGGCACAATCTCCAGCAAACACCAAAGTAATTTAAGGGCAGCGTTTGTTTATTCATCAATCATTGGATTGGGTCGATTCCGGGTGTAAGTCATGCGTGCCAAAACCCCAAACGCTTTACGCATACACCTCTGCACTTTGCCATAACCCAAAATTGATCACATAAATATCTCTTGAAAGGGTGGTTTCTACACACTTTTTTTGAAGAAGAAATCTCGTTTGTATATGTAGTAGTGGTATAACTTTTGACTTTTTGAGTGTTTAAAATTTTGGATTTATATCTGAATGCTATGCACTATTCATGCATAGATGCTATATATTATTAATAAATTATAATTTATTAAAATTTTAGAATAAATTTATATTTGATATATTATTAATATATAGATTTTATATTTTATAAGTACATTAGATAATGTTATCTTATTAATAAATAAATATTAATTTTTAAAATAAATTTATAAAAGTAATATTTTTAAAAAAATTTGCTCATGAAGTAATATTATTCGATTAACTTCATTAATGAGATGATATCATCTTATTTACTAAATATTTATAAAATATATATATATGATAGTCCATCAAATATAAATTTTTTAAAAATTTAAAAATTAATTTTTTATAAGATATTATTATCTAATTAATTAATAATATATAATATCTATACACTGATTAACTTATAATATAAATATTATATTAACTTAAAATTATTAAATTAATTTTAAATCAAATCAATCATGATTCATGAATCAAATTAAATATTAAAAAATTAATATTTTCATATAAAATTTTGCTCAAATATAAATATTAAAAAATTAAACCAAAATAAAATTTAAAAAAAATTTATCTCGATTTAACTCATTATCATTCCTACGTAATATAATTTTATAATCGAAAACTGAAATAAGGCCTTTTAAAAAAAATGTATTGAAATCAGGTTTAGATATTTAGATTAGTGGTCAAAGTTGAGGGCTTTGCAGCAATTCTGGAAAGAGAAAGTAGCGGGGACTCAACATTGGCATTTGAGCAAATCGAATCCACCCATGTACTATTTATGTCTTTAATGGGGTCACTTTTGCTTGATCGTCGAATGCTGCTTTTATTCCTTTTCTTTAACAAAGTAGGGATTCTATGCCTTTTAATGATTAGAACAACCATCTAATTTAATCATAACGCACTTATTAACAGCTTGGTACAACTACAATTGCACTTTGGGCATCCCAAAAGTAGTGTTCAAATGAGGTCTTGCCACGTTTTATGTGCAAGCAGATTTAAACAAAAACTAAAGTTTAAGTTAGGTTTAAGTTTCCAAAGTTTTTCTTTAAAATTGATTAAAAAAAACTAAATTTAAACTTGATAGATTCACAAAGTTGGACGAAAAACTGAATATATCTAAAAAGTTAATTAAAAATTAATATATTTTAGATTCAAGTTTCATAAATGTTTATTGAACAATGAAAATTTTGTTAAAATTTTTAATAAAAATAATATTTATATTTTGATATATTAACAGTATATAAACTTTTTATATTATCAGTAAATCATAAATTATTGCATCATTAAAGAATACATTTTTAAAGATAAAAAGTCTTAAAATTTAAATAATAAAAATTAACTTCAATTTTTTAAGTATTTTTCAACTTTCAAATTTTCTTATTAATGATATATAAATATGTGGTTCATCGATAATGTATAAAGTTTATATATTGTTAGTATATTAAATATAAACTCATAAAAATAGATATATTTAAATAAAGTATTAAAACATATTCAAATTATTTGAAATTTTGTATATGTTCAAGCTACAGAAACATGGTAGATCTAACTTGTTGATGAATATGAAAGAATGACAATGCTTTAGGCAAAAAGTATCTATCCAATTTTACTAGCAAAAGTGAAATCAAACGATCAATTAATCACATAAGAGATAATAATTTAACATGATTCAGTCCAAATGACCTATATTCACATATGAGAAAAAAGATTCATTAGTTATAAAGAATTACAAATATACAAATCATATCAATCAACCACTCAACAATCATTACCCATAAACCCTCTCAATCTCCTCTAATCCTATGAAATATTTTTAACTCAAATAGATACATATTTATGTGCATCTATGCACTATCTTTATGTGGACTGTCGCATCTCTTTTAGTCCATTTACATGTACTATACATGTGTGGACTCTTTTAATTTTTTTTAATCTACTCACAAACATAACATTCATACACCAATAAGACATAAATCTTCAGTAATCTTATAGGGCATTTATCCCATAAAACCTTACAACTCTTTTATATTTTTTTCTTATACCGAACCCTATAAAGACTTTATTTATTTATGAGTATACAAACTTACCTATTAAGAATCTATTTCTTTTTAGAATTTTTCTTCAGTAAGTCTTCTTATCCATTAAGTAATATCTAACTAATCTCAAATAAATTTGTTATTAGATTTGAGTCACTATTTCTAATAATCTTTACCTTGACTTAAATTTCATTAATCATTTATCTTCATGCTAGACATGCTTAACTTCACCTATAATAAAAAAGTTTCATAATCATCTTCTCTTGTGTGTCTTCACACTTCATGCAAATTGATCTTCAATTTTTAAAACATGAACTTGAGCTCTTCTCTTGAATTGAGCTTTTCTAAACTTACCTCTTCTTATGATTTGAACCTTCAGCTTTGATATCACTATTAGGCAAGAAACCTCTATCTAATCAAATCAACGAAAACGAAATCAAATGATCAATCAATTACACAAGAGATAATAATTAACGTGGTTCGATCCAACTTACCTACGTCTACAGATGAGAAAAAAGATCTACTAGTTGTAGAGAATTACAAATATACAAATCATATCAATCAACCACTCAATAATCAATACATATAAACCCTCTCAATCTCATTTAGTCCTATAGAGTATTCTCAACACAAACAAATACATATCCATATACACTCATACACTATATCTATATGGAGTCTTTCAGTCTCATTTAGTCTACTTACATAACCATAACTATGTAGATTCTATCAGTTTCTTCTAGTTTACTTACAAACATAGCCTTCATACACATCCATAAGACGTAAATCTTTAATAGTCTTATAGGGTGTCTATCCATAAAATTTTACAACTCTCTTACATCTTTTTCTCATACCTTAACCTATAAAGACTCATTCTATTTATAAGCATACAAACTTGCCTATTAAAAATCTCTTTCATTTTAGAATTCTTCTTTTGCAAGTCAAATTTACCTATTAAGAATTTTTTTCCTCTTAGAATTCTTCTTCTGCAAGTTTTCTTATCCATCAAGCAATAGCTAACTAATTTCAAGTAAATTTGTTATGAGATTTGAATCACTATTCGCAACAAAAGCAACAAGAGCAATAACAAAGATATTCTGCATTGGCTAAGCGGATAGAACTAAAATAATAAAAAATGAAAAAGTATATAAAACCTTTCAAACCAAATTAAACTTAATTTAAACTAAATTTGCAATCATAATTACTTGTCACACACCGTACATTCAACAAACAAACATTACTTGGTAAGTTTGGCATGATTTTTGAACAAATCCATTAAAATTTAAACTCATTTAGTTTGGAGTTATATGATGCAAAATAAAAAAAAAAATGTTGACAATAATGAGAATTCAGGGTCTTTTAGTTCTATTTTCATTCTTCTTACTTCTTTTATCTGAAGCAAATGCCAATCTTTTACCTCTTTCTGTTAGATTTGTCTATGCATAGTTCATTTTAGGATTAAAAATAAAAATGAAGTCTTATGATTTATGTTATTAATTTTTGGAGTTTTAATTTGCTTTATTGCAGTTACTACAACAATGGGAATCCACTATGGCTGTATGGCCAATAACCTCCTAGCAACCTTTGAAGTGTTCAACATTCTCAAATCCAATGACATTAATTTTGAGTGTTCAAATCTTTGGCGATGATCCGATTACTTTACAGTCCTTTTTAAAAATCAAAATCAAACTCATAATTGGTGTCCCTTTGCCTCAAGCACCCCTACTTTTGCACTCTAATGGCTCCAAACCAACATGCTCGCTCATATTTTTTCAAGCCAAATCCACATTATTGTAATTGGAAATGAGTTTTTCCTATGTGGTACCTAATCTTTATTAAGCCCTTCAAACACTAAACTTTGATAGCACTTTAAAGTTATCCTTACCACAAGTAGCATCCATGCTTTCCATATTGTACCCTTCATCTCTCGAAACCTTTTATCATTCTCTTCGATCTGTTTTGCTTCCTTTACTAGGCTTCTTGTATGATACTAAATAACCATTCACGATATATGTGTATCCATACTTTAGCTAAACAAGTAGTTTGAAACATGTATCTTTGGACTATCATTATTTAGAAGTGAAGACATGGTATGTTGATGCATGGCAATATTTTTGAGGCAAGCACAATACTAATGATGTTCATTATGCATTCAAGAAGGAAGGGTTCATAGAAGTGCTAGTGGTTTTATCAAAGGTGAGACAACCAATATGGAAAATGTGTTGGTTTAGAATGAGAATAAAGTAAGAAGATTGGTGAGTAAAGTAATGTTGGAACACTAAAAAAGCCTCAGGTAAGAAA